CTGCTGTGGCTATGACGACGGCTGCGGCGGCTGCTGCGGCGGCAACTGCTACAACGACAGCGACAACGGAGGAGACACCAGGGGAGAAACAGGCGGCGAGAACAGCGCTACGGGGCCACCAGAGTCAGCCGACTCCTTGACCGGGACAACCGACGGGAGGGGAGTGGCGTGAGACACTCCAGATGAAGCAGGACGGGGAGGGAGGGGAGCAGGGGCTACCCGGGGAGTGGGAACCAGAAACAGGGGAGGGGAAACCTGGAGACCTCGGTGGGGAAAGCGGTGGTAAAAGGAGACAGACTCGTCGAAAGTGGCGTTACTGGAGTGAAAGAAGCAGTGAGACGCCTGGTGGTAACAGTGACAGTCAGACGAGTCAAGGGGGACAGTGCGGGCAGTGAGCTTGTCCATGCCAAAGGCACGATCGTGAGCGAGGCAGCCACAGACGTGGAAAGCAGACGCGTCACCAGGGAACCCGGTCCAAAGAAGGGTCGGCAAAACCTGCCGCCTCTAGGAGCGCGGTCACAGGTTAAGCTGGTGAGCGGCGTAGCCAATGGCGAACGGCCACATACTGTAAAATGGGGTGCACCGGCATGAATCACCTCCATTACCAAACCGATGCGATGCTCAGCGATCACATTCTGCTGCGGGGAGTCTTTTAGGGATTACGACTGGGTGATGCCCTCCGCACGACAGAACTGTCCAAGCCGACCAGAGGCAAACTCGCCGCCACGGTCGGAGTGGAGACACATCATAGGGAGACCGCGGTGGAGGCGAGCAGCTACGACCCACGGGATAAGAACGTCAGGCACATCGGCCTTCCGCTCCAGGGGAAACACCGTGGTGTAGCGCGTGTAGTCGTCGACGAGCAGAAGAAAGTAGCGCTCGCGACCCGGTCCGGGGACGGGGGCTGGGCCCCAGACGTCTAGGTGCAGGGCTTAGAGGGGTGCGGTGGCAGGGCGAAGCGATGAGTGAGGAGCACGGCGCAGACAGAACGCAGCATACAGAGAACGCAGGGCATAACTAATATTATCCATGTCTAACTCAAAAACAGACACAACGTGGCACAACAGACTGACCAGTCAGGGAGGTCCGGGGCGGGGTTGGGTGTCGTCGAGGCAGCGGAAGTAGCGGGCGGTCGGGTGCGGGTGGCGACACAGAGTGCCACGGAGGGTCTCGGTCTGGAGCTGGTACTGGCAGCTCACAGCACCGAAGCTTCCAGTAGACGCCAAGCTTCGAGGTCCGCCACCGCGGCCACCACCTCCAGAGGCTCCTAGCCACCCTTGCGGGAGGCGGGCCCACAGCTGCTGCGGCTGCTACTGTAGCTGCTGCTGCTGCTGCGAATGCTGCTACTACGTCGGCTGTGGCTGCTGCTGCTCCTGGACACCAGCCCCAACCCCCTCGTCAGAACCACTGTCTCCGCCACAACCACTACCACGACCAGCACCACCACCACGCCCACCCTTGGGGCCACGACGGCCCCGACACTGGTGCTGCTGCGGGAACACCGCAGCTGCGGTCTCAGCGGGTGGGGCAGCCATAGTGACTGCGGCGGAAACGTCAGCGTACGTGTACTGGAAGGGAGCACAGCCCTGAATGATAGGGACTGCCACAACACCGCTCTACTGAGCGATAGTGCGCTGGCGAGTCTCTATCTCAGACAGGGCAGTGACAAAGGCAGTCAGGGTGAGGTCACCAGGGTGCTGGCTAAGGAAGTGGTAACGGGCAGTAGCTAAGCGGTCACGCGAGCGCATGGCAATAATATACAAGGTAGCGTAGAACGGTGGGGGGAAGGTAGTGAGCTAGGCGACAGTGCTAGCAGCACAGTAGCTAGTCTCTAGTGCACGGAGGTGAGTGGCGAGGTCAGCAACAGTGGGGAAAGCAGAAAGATCGGGGAATAGCATGGGGAGGATCAAGCGGCCAGCAGAGGCGGAGACGGGTGTGGAGTAGCGCACAACTACTGCATCTAGGAAATCTTTGGCGTTCGCGACAGCATAAAGCGCGGACACTCAGACAGGGGAATAGCATGACTAATGGCGAGATGCGCTACAGCATCGCGGGATGCCCAGATAGCGCGAGCGAACGCAGTAGCAGAAAAGGCCTCACGCTCAGTGGTGGTGGGGTCAGCAGGGAGGGGATCAGTCGTGGGGGGGCGGGGAAGCAAGCCATCCACATACATAGCAAGGGAGTGCCCATCCTGGCGCTGACCAGTCAGGTAACGGCGAAGATCGACAAGCCAGGCTGCGAAGTTGATCTCGTGCCCCTCCGCGTTTAGGCAGAGTATGACATCCGCCATCGTGCAACCTCAGCGTCACAGCTCCACAGCGGCACAACGATACGGCGAGACAGTGGCACAGGTACTCAGTGGCACTGCAGCACAGCGGCGTGGTGGCGGGAAGACCGGGCGGAAGGCCGAGCGGGGCACACAGGGCCCAAGGCACGCAGCAGGCCGGCGAGGCTTGATGAGCCGTTAGGGCGCAAAGGGGCCGGCGGAGCGCTAGAGCCAGATAGGCACTCGAGGGGCTGGTAGGGCATCTAGGGCCGATGGGACGCTAAGTGTCAAACATATATTGTATGTTTCTGTAGACTATATAGGGTTGTGCCTTAGGGAGTACAACCCATTAGGTTATATTCCTTTGTATGCCTTGTTCTAGACATTCTTTCACTTGAACACTAAGGGCCGGCAAGGCGCTAAGGGCCGTCTAGGCGCTAAGGGCCGGCGAGGCGCTAAGGGTCGGAGAGGCACGAAGGGCCGGCAAGCACGGGAGGGGCCGGCGAGGTACGCGAGGGGATGGCGAGCGCGAAGGGCCGGCGAGGCGTGCGAGGGGCCGGTTGTGTGCGCGAAGGGCCGGCAGGCACGAAAGGGGCGGGCAGGGTACGCGAGGGGCCGGCGAGTGCGATGGGCCGGCGAGGCGCGCGAGGGGCCGGCCGGGTGCGCTAGGGGCCGGCAGGGTACGCAAGGGGTCGGCGAGCATGCGAGGGGCCGGCGAGGCGCGAAGGGCCGGCGAGGTACGCGAGGGGCAGGCGGGGTACGCGAGAGGCAGGCGGGCACGCGAGGGGCCGGCCGGGCGCTGAGGGCCGGCAAGGCGCGCTAGGGGCCGACGGGGTACGCGAGGGGCCGGCGCTGCGCTAAGGGCTGGCGGGGCGCTAAGGGCTGGCGGGCACGCTAGGGGCCGGCGGGGCACTAGGCTTGGGCGAGGGGCGGAAGCGGGTGGGTGGACCTAACCTACCTGTGGTCCTTACCGGGCACACAGACACTTCTTTGGCCGACGACGCCGAGACTCTTTGGTCCTCCAGGGCTACTGCTTTAGCCTTGGTGCAGGTGCTGTCTCGTGGCGGTCCACTCGCTCGTCGTATGTTGCCCAGTCTAGCTGTAAGGTTGAGATCTACACTGATGCCAAGGCTGCACAGGAGCTCCGTTGGTTGACTTTCTTGCTCACAGACTTAGGTGAGCGGCCTAACTCTGCCCCGGTCTTGTACGTTGACAACAGGGACATGATTCTCCTGTGTCAGGGGCCGCGACTCGAGGGCAAAGCGAAGCACATCCAGCTGCGGTACTTCCTCCTGCGCGAGCTACAGCAGCGTCGTCAGGCCCGCGTAGTACACTTGGCCTCCGGTGCGAACACAACTGATATCTTTACGAAGGCGTTGGCGCCTAAAGGTCATCAGCGGCACTGTGTACAGCTTGGTCTTGTTCCTGTAGCCTCTCACTTGCTAGGACCTTGATTGTGTACAGACCTTTATATATATATTACCCTAACTTGCCTTGTGGCCTCTTCCCAGTGGCTGGACTCCGCCCTGGTTTTGCTCTTGCCTTGTCTGTACTCGCTTGACTAGTCTTCAGACCCTTGTCTCAGAGGTTGGACTAGTAGTGCCACCCTGAGCTGCTTGTCTCTACTGCCCCTATCCTGTCTAGGGGGTGTGTAAAACATATCTTTGTATGTTGTTATAGAGTACACATGGTTGTGCCTTTTAGAGTACAACCCACTATGTTATATTCCCTTGTATGCCATGGTTCTAGTCATTCGTTAACTTTGATATGTTCAACACAATTATGTAGTTGCGTTGCAGTAGTGACCTTCTACATAAAAACGACACCAGCAATTTCGTGGCAAATGATAAAACCGACAAAACGAGGAAACAATTATTGGAACAGAGCAATAAATCACGCCCGTGACAAAGAAACCCCTTTGCACGCGCCACATAAAGTCCATGTCGTACGCCGCTCTGGCCAGGTATTCTTTGCCAACCCCCTCCTGCGCCTTGTGCTCGCCCCCGCTTTGCCCTTCCCCACCCTCGATTCCCCCTAGTCGTTGTTTGCGAATGTTTTGGTTCTGTCATAATTTGTATGCTCGTTCTGATTGGTTTTCGTAGTGTGCTGTGTTCGCCCCTCACACCACTACTCCACGCCCCTGTTCTTTCTCCAGCTTAACTTTTTGCCTGGTTCATATTTATTAATCTTGTACGTTTTGGGTCAACGGCTTTAACCAATCAGAAATATTTAGCCCCCTTCATGGGTAATACCTTTGTGAAATACGAGATGGGGCTTTTGCGGGACAGAAACGTGTCAAAAACGAGGATGCGAACAGAGAGTACGTTAGAAACTCGGATTCCTGACACCTCAGTTTTGGTTCGGTGAGGAATTTTGTGGCTAGACGCCAGGTGTTTGCGAAGGTGGCGGTTCACACGGCCGAGCGCGCCTAGGATCAAGAACAAGTGAAACGCCACATCGACTAGGGCAGACCACAGAAAGCCTAAAAACGATCGCCCTAGGGCAAAGGGCGGTCGAAAACTAGCGTGCCGTTTGCACACCACATGAGTGTATTGCTGTCTACTCGCTTGAGTGTACGAGGCCGTTTCGGTGAGGACACAGCACGCGAACGTTTCCTTTGCCCGTCGAACATTCGGCTTGGCACATCACAAGCCGCAAGATGATGCTACTCCACTCCACCACTGACGGGCGTAGCGCCTTGCCTCTCAACGCAACCCAAATCCGCCCTGCTGTGACAACCAGCACAGTCCTGTTGTTGGCGCCCACAAGCCGCTCTTGAAATTCTACATCTTTCGCGCTTCCTACTCTGTCCCACTGGCAGCCTCCTCTCCTGGTTGGGCGCGTTTGGTACAAGAAGGCTCTTTGCCTCGCCGTATTCTGTTGTCCCTCGCACTTTCCCGCCCGGGCGACATGGCTATCATCGCCAATGCCACAGCTTGCGCCATCGCCGCCGCTAGCGCCTCATCGTGCGCCGTCCTCGATCCAGCCAGTGCTTTCTCGCCCTGTCACGCTGCACCCGCCGCTGCCTCCCCGTTGCTCCTAAACGTCTTCCTTTATCTCCTCCTCGCCTCGCTCCTCGCCCTCGCCGCCCTTGTCGCCATCGTCGTCGTCGTCGCGTCGCGATGGGCCGGAATAGGCGCCACCGCTGCGTCCTCCACCGACCACCCCTCCACGTCGGATACTACGGATCATGACTCTCATGATTCCCCTTCCGCCAACCCGTACGATGTCTTCCGCCCGGCGCCCGTTTCCCCGGCCAAGGCGCGCGTGCGCGCGGTGCTGAAGGTGCTCATCCCCGCGGCCGTGCGCGCGATCAACTGGGCGGGGCGGCAGTGCGGCGCAGTTGCGCCGTGGTTCCGCCCGCTGGACTGGCTGATCCCCTTCGACGAGGCCGCCATGCTGCGGTGCGCGCAGTGGTGCACGGGGCTCAGCGACTTCGGCGACATGAGCTTCGCGACGGCCATGCGACTCGCGGCGAAGGACGCGCGCGAGAATGCGAACCTGTCGACGTTCGGGCGGATCGCCATCTGGCTCGACGTGCAGGTGAGACGCGCTTTGGCGCGCCTGTCGCCGGTCGCACGTACTCGCCCGTAGCATGAGCCCACGTTGGCTCGTCATACTTTCCTATTTTTTGGCGGATGAAAGCTCTCCTGGCTTCGTAGTCCTTCCTACGCTCTCCTGGCATCTTCTCCCTTATTACCCCGTTCCACCTGCCCCTCCTCTTCCCCTTTTTCCTCCCTTCCCCCTCGGTGACTGCGCAGCGGCTGCTGCAATGCCGGCTGCAGCTGGTGGAGCACCGGAAGCAGCACCCCGAGATCGAGGACGAACGCATCAAGGTACCAATGCCACGCACACCCTGCACGCACACACCCACTCTCACACACATACTCAAACACAGACTGGCGCACCCACTCACACTCACTCTCACACGGATGCACCCAAACAAACCAGCCAAAATAAGAACATGCTCCTGAAGATCCACGTTATCACAGTGCGTCGCATAAGCACCCTTGGGGCCTTGTGCCTCCCAACATACCTTGCGAAACTCCGCACTCCCTCACTGCTGCTCTTGTTCCCCACCCCCCAATTTCTCGTCCCCTGTCCCCTGTCCCCCCCATTTCCCCCTCCCCCTTTCCACACCTCCCCCCGCCAGTCGCCCCTGGTGGTGCTGGGCATGCCGCGCACGGGCACGACGCTGCTGTTCAACCTGCTCTCGCTCGACTCGCGCACCTTCCGCACGCCACGCACGTGGGAGTGCCACCACGTGTACCCGCCGCCGCAGCGCGCGTCGTACGAGAGCGACCCGCGCGCGGGGCTGATGGAGGAGTCGCTGTTCGCGCTGGACGCGCTCGTGCCCGACCTCAAACACATCCACCACATGACGGCGCGCGGCCCGCAGGAGACCTTCGAACTCATGTGGTCAGTTGCACTGCACGCGCTGTGGCCCTCGGGCCTGTGCCGCTCGTGCTCTCCAAGCCCTGTGGCCTGTGGCCCTCCTCCTTTTCCTCACTTCCTGAGCACATGTAGCTCACTTGCTTCTTTTCGTACACATCCTCCTATTCTCCTCTTCCACTCCCGCCTCTGCCACCTTTTTCTCTGACCCTTCTTTCCACCAAATCCTCTTGTCTCGATGATTCCATTCCTCCTCTTTTCCCCCCCTCAACCCTCACTTGTCCCCTCCATCCACCCCCCCTCCCCCTCTCCCTCCGTCCCCTCCTTGCCCCCGCAGCTACGACTGCACGTCGTTCGTGCTGCCGTTCGCATACCTGCACGCGCCCGAGTACCTGGACTGGTTCATGGCGTCGCACATCACGCCCACCTACCGCTTCCTGCGCTGGCAGCTGCAGTACCTGCAGCACCATGGTCCCTCGGCGCCGCACTGGCTGCTGAAGAGCCCCGAGCACATCTTCTCCCTGCCCGCGCTGCTCGAGGTGTTCCCCGACGCGCGCGTCGTGTGCACACACCGCGACCCCCTGCGGGTGCTGCCGTCCGCGCACTCCCTCATGCGCTGCTTCCGCTCCCTCACGTGCGAGCAAGTGGATGACGCCACCGTGAGTGCTCGGGGAATGGGGAATGGGGAGGGGCGCTGGGAAACCGCTGATCATGGGGTGGATGGGGGTACAGGAAGCGGTCCGGATGGTGTGGAGGGTTTGGCATTGGAATGACCTAAACAGTTTATTGGCCTTCTACTCTTTGGCTCGCATGTAACTTCTTCTTACACTGCCTAATCACCCTCTTCCCTGTCCACTTGCCGTCTCATGCACGCCCCTGCAGATCTCCACTCTGTGGGCCCCACACCTGGCGCGTGCCCTGGACAGCATGATTGCCCTGCGGGAGAAGGCCGCTGAGAGGGAGAGGATGACGGCGGAGCCAGAGTCAGAGGACAGCAGCAGCGACGACTGCAGCAGCATCTGCAGCGACAGCAGCCGCAGCAGCAGCGGCATTGCCAGCACCAGCACCGACTCTGACGATGATGAAGGGGACGGCGGGGACGTGGATATTGCCAGCAACACTGACAGCAACGATGGGGAGGAGGAAGAGGAGGAGCATGAGGGGGGGGCAGGGGAGTGGCGTGCGTCGCTGGCGGTGGACGTGCTGTACCACGAGTTCGTGCGCGACCCCATAGCGCAGATCCGGCGCATCTACGCGCACTACGGCGAGGAGCTCTCCCCGTGGGCGGAGCGCCGCATGCGCCTGTACCTGGCGGAAGATGCCAAGGTGAGGCTCGAGCGAATTGGGAGGGATAGGGCCAGGGTGGTCTGTGGTGATGCTGGATGCTGTGCCCGACAGTCTTGAAATCAGTTGAAGCTAATTCTGTACAGAGTGGAGTCTTAAGGCATGGAAATCCGCGCTATGGTGATGGCGGTAGAGACAAGCGCTATGGAGTCTAAGGGGTTCTCAACCGCTGAGTTTAGGTGACAGTGGTAGAGGCAAGTGTGGGTTGGGCCAACTCGGTAACTCGGGTGCACCACGTCTATTCCGCCGACAATCTTCCCCGTTGCCACTGCTGTGCTTCGTCCCTCCTCCCCCCTTGGCAGGAGCGCAAGGCTCATCGCCACATGTACCGGTGGGAAGACACGCACCTGGACAAGCAGGAGCAGAGGGCGCGCTTTGCACACTACATGCAGCACTTTGGCGTGCAGCACGAGGCGTGAGAGGGCGGCGAAGGGGGGTTGGGGCATGAGGGATGGAGTCGAGAGATGAGGATGGAGTTGCAGCAAGAGACATGTGGAAGCAATGCGAAATCACCTGAAGGCTGAAGCTGTTACGCTCATGGGATGACCAGGACAGGCGCACCATGGGGGTGCGGCATTGCTGCTTAGCGTGTCCTGGGTTGTTGAATGTGGACTGTCTAGTGATGGCAGGGAAGCAGAATGTATGTACGGGTCTGTCCGCAGAGCTGCCCATACCCTCTGCTGCCCTGCCAATGCCGGTAGTTGCTGGTTGTGTCTCCATTATTCTCCCAGGCAACTCAAACCCAAAGGGACCGCCCAGCATCATGCCAGGGCGTGCCCTTTGTTTTTGAAGTGCTTGGACATGTGCTTGTGTTCGCTTTGTTGTTTTTTGCTTTGATGTGTGTTTTGGTGAGGTTGGGATGGGACCTGTGAATGAAGGGTTTAGTTTCAGACCTTGTACACAATCGTCCAGCTCAGCGTATTACTCTCTGTGTCTCAGCTCACAAGTATTGTGTATCAACAATAGTACAGCACCTTACTACCACGAAGTGGGTAACGGATAGAAAGTACACTACATAACTGATGAGTGCACCATAACGTACATCAAATATCACTGTAATGAAGCGCAAAGAGCGTGCAACGCAAAGTTGAGTAGCGAAGAAAAACAATTCAATGAGACAACATCAAAACAACAGGGAGTATGGATATAGGCCTAGAGCACACAGTCGAGGCTAGGCAGAGCCGAGACGCGTGGTCTGTAAATTGGCGCGAAGTATCAAAGTTAACGAATGAGTTAGGCCGCTCACCTAAGTCTGTGAGCAAGAAAGTCAGCCAACGGAGCTCCTGTGCCGCCTTGGCACCAGCGTAGATCTCAACCTTACAGCTAGACTGGGCAACAGACGACGAGCGGGTGGACCGCCACGAGACAGCACCTGCACCAAGGCTAAAGCAGTAGCCCTGGGAGGACTTGAGGGTCTCAGCTTCGTCTTGCCACGAAGCGTCTGTGTGCCCAGCAAGGACCACTGGCCTGCGTCCTCCCAGCACAAGCCCCATGCCCGATGTACTTGCTAGATAACGCAAAACCCTCTTAGCGGCCGACCAGTGCTGTGGTCGGTGTTTGTCTGCGGCCACAAAGCGAGCCAGGATGCTGAGAAGGTATACGAGATATGGACGAGTGCAAAACATCAGGTACATGAGGCAACCCACTAGCTCTGTGGAAGGACCACTGGGCTCTACCTACTCCTCAGGAACTGGAGCAGAGAGCCTATCATCTCCCGGCAGAGGTGTGGGCTATGCGAAGGAGAACTGAAGACCGAACCTCTGAAGGACTTGGCACACCAAGTGTGACTGTGTGAGAGTGATGGTGCGCACTGCTGTGTCCCTAGAGATCTGCAGGCCAAGGTAGCAGCGCAGCTCTTCTAGGTCAGTGCATGTGTGTCTCCTCAGCAGCTCGGCCTTCACGGAGGCCAGCGCGTCTCTGTCTGCAGTAGCAAACACTAGGTCGTCTACATAGACAAGGACGTAGAACGGAGTCTGGTCGGAACGGGCGAAGAGCGAGGGGTCTGCAGAGGACGGGAAGAACTGCAGGTCAGCAAGTGTAGCACGCAACGTGTCGTGCCACTTATGAGGCGCCTATCGCAAGCCGTAGACGGGGCGCCGGGGGAGCCACTCGGTACCAGGGGGAAAGGTACCGGAGAAGCCCTGGGGGCGGCTCAGGTAGACCTGCTCGTGTAGACTGCCCTGGAGGAAAGCTGTGGAGAAGTCGAGGGAGTGCAGCTCGTAGTCACGCTGTGCTCCTACGTCTAGCAGTGCCTGAAGAGTAGTCATCTTCGGGGTCGGGTCTAAGGTCTGAAAGTAGTCCACCCCCTCACATTGACTGAAGCCTCAAGCAACCTAGGGTCAGGAGAGGAGGGGAGGAGACACAGGAGGATAACATGGAGGGAAACGAGTCGGAAAGGAGTCAGGGGGAGGAAACACTGGGCCGTAGACCGGCGGGCCGTAGGAGGCGACGGCGACAGAGGAGGCACCGGCAGGCGGTCAGGGGAAGGAAGACCGAGGAGGCGAAGAGCGGACACCGTCGGCGACTGCTGCCTGACTCCAACACCAGAACCTCCAGCGACAGCACGGCTCCCCCCGAGAAGCTCCACGCCAGCACCCCTAGAATGGAAACCCCCTCTAGTACCCGCTCTAGCACGCTCCCCAGCACCCCCAGAACGCACGAACTCCAGCGGTGGTGACGACGGCGGCTGAGGCCGCGGCGGCGACGGCAGCAGCGGAGACGGCTGCGGCGGGGACAGCAATGGTGGCGACGAGGGAGAAGAGACCGGGGCGGGGAGGGGCGGGGGGAAGGACTCCGCAGAGCCGCGAGAGTCAGCAGACTCCTCGGCAGGGACACCCGACGGGGGAGGGGTGACGTGAGACACACCAGACGGGGCAGTGAGGGGAGGGGGGTGAGCCGGGGCAACCTGGGGAGGGGGGACCAGGAACAGGAAGGGGGTAACCGGGGGACCACGGTGGGGAGTGGAGTCCCAAAAGAAACACCGGGAAGCGCCATAGTCCAGGATGAAGGAGAGCGCGGCAGTGGCGGCAGGGGTCGGAGGAGCGAGGGTGGAGCCAAGGCTAAACAAAGCAGGGGATCCTACGCCTAACGTAGCCGGGGAGCCCGAACTAGGCACACCTACACTAGGCAACAAGGGGTAATAGGAACCAGTCACACTAGAGTCATCGACATATAGTACACACAAAGCATATCTAATCTCGTCCATGTCCATATCAAAGATCCTAACACCATGGCGGAGCACACTGTGCCAGTCGGGAAGGTCTGGCGCCGGGCCGAAGCAGAGACGAAACATGTCGTCTAGGTGACTGAAACAACGAGTGGGGGTATGGCCGATCTTACTGCACACGAGGCCGTGGCGAGGTCCGGTCTGGAGCTGGTACTGGCAGCGCCCGTCACTCGCACCACCACCCGACGGCATGCTGCGCGCATGACTACTGCGACCATCTCCACCACCGGCGCCAGGCGGTAGATGGCCGACCCGCCGCTTCTGCTGCTGCTGCGGCTGCTGCGGCGGCGCATGTTGCTGCTGCTGCTGCGGCTGCTGCTGCTGCTGTGGCTGCTGCTCCCAGGAACCAGCCCCAGCGCCCTCGTCGGAACTACCAGCAGGCGAATGACCTCCACCCCTGCCGTCACCCCCTCCTCCGCTACCTCCGCCGCGCCCAGCCTTGGGGCGGCGACCCTTACCCAGGCGAAAATGCGATGCAGCGGCTACCTCCGCGGCAGAGGTTGTCTCAGCGACAGCTGCAGAACAGTCAGAGTAAGTGCAGTGAGCGCGGGCATAACCCTGAAAGAGAGGGACTGGCGCAGTACCGCTAGACTGGGCGATAGAGCGCTGACGAGTCTCTATAGCAGACAGGGTGTCGACAGAGTCAGTGAGGGTCAGGTCCGCGGGATGGAGACTAAGAAAGTGATCGCGGACAGTAGCAAGGCGGTTAGGGAGGCGGATGGCAAGCAGATAGAGGGTGGAGAATATGGAGGGCTGAAACACACTAAGCTGTGCCTCAGTGCAGGCAGCGCGCCAGGTCGAGTCTAGCGTGCGCACGTGTATGGCGAGGTCAGCGACAGTGGAGAAGGACGCGAGATCAGGAAAGAGCATGTGCAGGATCAGGCGACCGACAGAGGCACAGGGCGGGGTGGAATAGCAGGCGACAACAGCGTCTAGGAACTCCATCGCAGTCCTGACCGACCGAAAGTGGGGGCACTCAGATAGGGGGAGGGCATGACTAATCACGAGCTGTGCGACAGGGTCACGCGACAACTAGACAGCATGGGTAAGGGCAGCAGCGGTAGCGGACTCACGGTCAGCAGACGTGGGGTTAGCGGGTAGAGCAGCAGGGGGGTCAGGACAAGGTAGCGTACCGTCGAGGTGGACGGCCAGTGAGGTGATGGCGGAGGTCAACGAGCCACGTGTCGAACTCGACCGGCTGACCCTCCGCGTCAAAGCGCAGCACAGAGTCCGCCAACCTGGTCGCTGCAGCAGCTGACAGGCGATAGTGGGCTGTACTAAGCGAAGGAGTACGACAGGGAGCAGTGGTGAGCAGCGGGGCAGTTCGGTGGAGCGCGGTGCAGTGCGGTAGAGTGCAGAGTTGTGCGGTGGGAGGGGCTGACGTGGTAACAAGGCGACGGAGCAACGGGCGGCTGAGCGTCGGGGTCGGCCGGGACGGCTAGAGAATAGGGCCGCGGACGGCTAGGCAAGGAGGCCAGCTGGACGGCGAGGCGACGGGGCTGCGAGAGGTTCGGCGACAAGGCCGGCTAGGCGGCTAGGCGGCGGGCCGTTGTGCGGCTAGAAGACGGGGGCCGCGGGCGGCTAGGCGACGGGGCCGGCAAGACGACTAGGCGACGGGGCTGCGGGTGGCTAGGCAATGCGGCCGTGGGGCCGATAGGTGACGGGGCCGCGGGGCCGCTAGGTGACGGGGCCGCGGGGCCGCTAGGTGACGGGGCCGCGGGGCCGCTAGGTGACGGGGCCGCGGGGCCTCTAGGTGACGGGGTCGCGGGGCCGCGAGGTGACGGGGCCGCGGAGCCGCGAGGGGACGGGGCCGCTGGGCCGATAGCTGACGGGGCTGCGGGGCCGCTAGATGACGGGGCCGCGGGGCCGCTAGGAGACGGGGCCGCGGGGCCGCTAGGGGATGGGTCCGCGGCGCAGCAAGGGGACGAGGCCGCGGGGCCGCTAGGTGACGGGGCCGTGGGGCCGCTAGGAGACGGCGCCGCGGGACCGCGAGTTGACGAGGCCGCGGGGCCGCGAGGGGACGGGGCCGCGGAGCCGCTAGGCAACGGGGCCGCTGGGCCGATAGGTGACGGGGCCGCTGGGCCACTAGGTGACGGGGCCGCTGGGCCGCTAGGGGATGGGGCCGCGGGGCTGCTAGGTGATGGGGCCGCGGGGCCGCTAGGTGACGGGGCTGCGGGGCCCCGAGTCGACGGGGCCGCGATGTGACGGGGCCGCGGGGCCGCTAGGTGATGGGGCCGCGGTGCCGGTATGTGACGGGGCCGCGGGGCCGCTAGGGGACGGGGTCAGCACAGGCTACGAGGCGGCTAGGACCTATGGCGGAAGCGCTGGTGGGCGGAGGGGACTTAACCTACTCATGATACCATATCAAAGTTAACGAATGAGTTGAACTACGGCATACAAGAGAATATATCCTAGTGGGTTGTGCTCTCTAAGGCCCAACCTTGTGTAGTCTATAACAACATACTTAGATATGTTTTGATACTCTTTCCTTACAACATTTCCACTTCAGTCAGGTCCCCAATTCCAATGGACACGAATCGCCCAGATCTAGGCATGAAACAGCAAGGCGGGCCAAATGCATGTGGCTCGTCAGGATGTCAACAAACATATTTTTATGTCTACACATATCTAGTTAGTTTATATATGCTTGTTCGAGCCTAGCTAGGTCAGTTCTTAGAGCGGACAGCATTTTTGTACTTGTATCTCCCCTCCCCTCTCCCTAGTCACACCCTTTTCC